GGGTGGGAGCAGGCGGCAGGGCCGCGCTTACCGTGGATGCTTCTAGCGACTCTTTGGAGGTCAGCGGCCGCCCTGGCGGGCAGCTGGCTCCGTGCCGCCGGCCCTAGCGCCGCGCGGCCCCTCTCATTCCTCCCGTGCCGCTGAGCTGGGGGGCTGAGACCCGCCAGCTCATCTCATGTGAGGGGTCCCCCCGCTGCTGCACGCTCAGATGCCTGCGCCGCGTTTTGTCTCCCTGCAGGTCCTACAGCAAGCAGAGGTCAGCGATCGAGAGGGAGTACGGGCAGGTAAGGAGGCAGCCCCGGCCTCCCCGCTCATCGTGGGCCCATGTCACCCTGTGCCGGGGCCGTGTCACCCCGCACTGGCAGCGGGACTCCCACTGGTTGCCCCGTAGCCAGAGGCAGCCCTCAGCTCCCCGTCCTGCTCCGCTGCAGCCCCTGCTGCTGCATGGGAGCCTGTGCAAGGCTGCATTCCCAGGGGATCTGCCACCAAGCTGGGCCGAGTGGCCCGGAGCAGGGTGCTGGGTCCCCTCTGAGGCACGGGGAAGCCGTGGGCTTCTGCTCTGGGATGTGTTGGAGCAGCATGTGGCCCCGCACATGTAACACGTTGGGATTTGCTTGCAAATATGAGGTACTATTTGAGCCAAGCAGGGGGTTGCTGTTGTATCCAGGTCTTTGCTCATCCCTTTTTCCTGTGCGAGCTGGTGCTCTCTGGGATCCGCTCGCCCTTCTGAAGGGAAAGATCAGCGCTTTCCCTCCTGGGCAGGATCGATCGCCCTGCCGAGGGACTTCGCTGAGTGCAGCACAAACCCAATCTCTACATTTTGGGGGCTGAGAGGGAAAACCCGGGAGTGGGAAGGAAATAATCCAACTCTGACATCTGCTTAACTGGGATAATTAAGATCTTCCCGGACTCTCTTAAGTACTAGAGCCCGGGTTGTGTCGCTTGAAGCCCCCTCTGCTAGAAGCGGGGACCGCCACAGGGCTGTGCGTGCCCCCAAAGGGGCTGCGAGTGCCCGGCAGGGGCCCAGCTCCCCTCTCTGCCCTTCCTTCCCTCTGCCCGTAGGACAGCGCTGCGGTGCCAGCTGCGCTCAGCCTCGCTCCTGCCTCCGCCTCGCTCCGTCCTGCCTCCCGCGCATGGCCCCCGGCGCCGCACTGCCCCGCTCCGGCCTAACCTCCTCTGCTCTCTCCGGGCGGCCGCTGGGTGCTGCCCGGTGGCTCGGGGGGCCCTCGGCCCCGAGGGTGCAGCTAACTCCCCCGCTCAGCCCCGCGTGAGTACCCGCAGCGGCCTCCCGCTGCCCCGCTGCTTTCTTGGCACCTTTCCTGGCTCGGCGCCCTGCACCAGGTCCTTGGTAGCATCTCTGGTGGGCCTGGATGCGTTTGGACACACAAGCCCCAGGAGCCCAGGCTTGGAGGGGGACGGTCCCCCGCATGCTGCAGGTTCAGGTCCTTCTGGGCTCACATATGGTGGTGGCTTCTCTCTAGCTTCTTTACCCGGTCGTTGCCTTTGCAGCCCCTGCTCCCTCCGGCCTGGTTTTGGCCACTTGCTGTCCTCCTGGCATCCTCCCCTCTCCGAGCCTGCAAGACGAGGCCTTTCGTCACGGTGGCCAAATCTGCTCCTCCGGGTCAGCCAGGGCCTCTTCCCCGCTCCTAACCCGCACGTGCTGCTTTAGCTGTGCGATGCCCCTGGGATGTGGGGCTCTGACCCAGCCTCGTGGGCACCCCTGTGGGTCCCACACCTGGGGACTTTGTGTCCCTGCTCTGCGTGGCTGCTTTGGGCCAGCTCTGCCCTCTTCCTCAGGCCCCTGAATGCATCAGCAGTTAAATGAAGACTGTGGGGTGCCCTAGGCCCTGCACACTCCAGCACTGAGGGAGGAGGCTGATGGAAACGGGACTTTTCCCTCCAGGCCTGAGGCTCAGATGGTTGCAATCCCGGCAGGGATGACCAGAGGGACATCTCCTTGTGGGCAGCTCCTTAGTGGGACCCAAAGGTGCTGGGCTCAACCCACCCAGTGGGTGGCAGGTAGCAAGCATCCAGCCATGGGTGCTGGGCCTGCCTGGGCCCACGCCAGCGAAGATCTGTGGGGTGGTCGTGGGGCTGTGTTTGGGCTCGGATCTTTTGGGGGCTCCCTGGAGGAGCCAGTCTGGGCTTCTCTGCCCTTGCAGGGACCTGACTGGCACTCGGGCACTGCCAGACGCTTCCTGCTCATGCCTGTGCACTGCAGCTGGCTTGGTCGCAGCCACGTGCCCTTGCTCTCCCTTCCCTCCCTGCCCCGCTTCTTCCACAAGGGGTTTTCCTGTGAGGGGTGGCCCCAGGACCTGGTTCCCCAGACACCTGGGATGCCCATCAGCCTCCAAATGACCGCAGGGTCCCCTGCTGCCCCATTGCTTGGGGGATGCCCACGAATTGGGCAGCTGCTGCGGGGAAGCCTGGGCCTGTCCCCAGGCTCGGGACTACGTGTCCTAGGCTGGGCGCAAGCAGGACCCTGTGGCCCTGGTGGCGGCATGGCTGG